AGCAAGTGCGAGAAATGTTATCGAACATACCACACCTCAATGGACTTAAGTCATACAGCATAGCCATTCGTATATTTTGATCCGTTTATAAATGTTGATCGTACCATACCGACTTATGTTAACTTGTGTTCAACCGATCAGTTATTATTCAACACGATCGTCAATGCATGGAATGGTAAACAAACGATATCGTCTCTCATTAACAACTGGAAAGTTGCGTATTAGCCACCATCGTCTCAGACAGAAAAATCATTTGTCACTATCATGTACAACGTCCAGGGTCTATCATCAAAATTAGCTGAAGTACAATACTTACTTGATCTAAAACATCCCACCGTTCTGGCTTGTGTTGAAACTGGTAATACTCCATTGAAATTATTACCATCTTATTTTTCCTCGTATTGTCGATATTTTACAGCCGGTACAAATGAGCACGGTGGTGTTTTAATATTAGTACACACGTCTGTACCATCAAAATTAGTCCATACAGAATCCAATATTTTAGATGTTGAAGTCTCATTAGAATGTTGTCGCTTAAATGTGATCGGTGTATACGGTCGTCACCGCTTCCAATCAAAAGCTTCCGAAACATCGTCACTACCAATACAGCGAGACAAACACTACTAACTGGGAATCTGAACGCCTGTTCTACATCTTGGAGCTGTAGTACAACCGACAGCCGAGGTAGAATATTTGAAAATTTTTGTAATGAATTTAATTTTAATATCGGAATAATCAGTGAACCGACATCCAAACGTTCAATGAATAGTGTTGATCTCGTCTGTTGTACAGAAAATCCTGACGATGTTTCGATAATCCGGTTCGGCTGTAGTGATCACTGGCCAGTTTTGTATATTGGCCCTTGGTCTACCGTTTCGAGTTCAATTTTTACAGATGTACGTTGGAGGGTGTATAATTTATTTTTGCGGTTTTTGCAACCGTATTTTATGCACTCGAATTTCGGCAGCAACTTATTTATCGTTATTGTCCTGGTTCCTTGGTTTTCTTATTTGTCATTTAACACGTTTTATCGAGGTTTCGAAGTATCGTCGATCATTGCCAAAATGGATTCGGGATGAAATAGCCGTTTTACATAATCTGCGGAATCGATATTATCATCGTCACACGATTGAGCGGTATAATTAATATAGCTTGCAGCGACACTTCGTAAGTTTTTGGATCAAAGAACATCGCGTGTAACAATGGGAAGGTTTTCTGAAAACCTGTTCGGCCGCTGACAGTTCTTATTTTTGGCGCTATACTGCGAGACACTTGCAGTCCTCGGCACCCCACTTCAAAGGGTTACAATCTAATAACATAATCGATACGAACTCGATCTCTGTCGTCGACCAATTGTATCAGCACTACAGAGAGCATTTTCGTTTCCCAACAGAAAATCTATCGCCAGTAGCAGAAAGCGTAATTGGGGAAGAATACAGAAAAGCTAGAACACTGTATGAAAATAGCCCCAATCCACCACCACTGACAACCACCTATAGCTAAGATATATAAAAGAATTCGACCAAAACGTGCATTGAATGTTTCGGGAACCAGTAATTTCCTTCTTCGTCAGCTACCACTGGATTTTGTAGGTATTTTTGTAGTTTGTTTCAATCGGTTGTTAGGAACAAATTCAGTAACGGAACACGACAAAATAGCACAAAGGATATTTCACTCAAAAGCCGGTTCTTACCCCACCATCAGTGAGGTACGTCCAATATCGATTTTAAATGCTATTGAAGAGCTCTACGAAAAAATTATGTACAAATACTTACAAAAATGGATGACAGAGAAAAAAGTAATTCCCAGTTCTCAATCCGGATTCCAACCTGGGGTCAGGTTACAAACACGAATGCTCAGTCTCTATGAAGCAACACGAGCTTCTATTGCATCGAACAGACCGGGATTGATCTTATTTGTCGATTTTGCTAGTGCGTTTGATAAGGTTAGGCATGAGGTTTTGCTGGTCAAACTCTCAAGATACGATATTCCAGGACAAAATTGATTGTGGATCAGAAACTGGTTGAGCAAAAGGTCAGCATACATTTCATTCTGTGGTTTACAATCCGCTTTGTTCGATATTAAGTGGGGCCTTCCATAAGGTTCGGTTTTATCACCATTAATTTATTTGCCATATGTCGCTGACTGAATGCCATTAAGGAACCAGCACAGAAAAACAATTGGTTTGCTGATGATTGGAGTCTGTTCATTGAAGTTCCATTCGGTATTCCATTTGGTGAAGCATGCCTACTACTCAGAGGCTGGGTCAACAAGCATTGGATAACATCAGAGAGTATTGCGATTATTGGTTAATTGAACTGAGTGTCAAAAAGACTGTTGGCCTTATAGTTCATTCACAAGTACAAGTAGCAATGATAACACTGAAATACAATAGCCACACAATTTCTATGGAAACAAAGGTCACTAATTTGGGATACGGACTAACATCAAAGTTGGGTTTGGATGCATTTTTGAATTGGGTGTGTCAGAAAATTGCAGTTTCATTTCGAATTGTTTCAGCTCAATTCGCGCGTTTTGGTTCAGTATCAATTAATTTGTGTCGCAGATGTTTTTTTGCGTTTGTTTATCCTTGGTTTGTGTGGCTAATGCCGATTTTTTTCTATTTTACGAACCGGCAGCAAGAACGAATTTCGAGTCTTTATGCATTTTATTTACGGAGAGTTTACGGTTGTTCTTATCTTGATATAGTTTTATTTTTTTCGATGTCCGGTGAACGAACGTTTCTCGACAGAATCTATTTGTACTGGCAGAAGTATTTATCCACAGTTTCTTCGCAGCCAGATACTACTGATTTACTTGAAATGTGGCATTCGAACTATCGCGCCAGAACATCGGATTCAGTTAAGATAGGAAATAATAATCAAATGAGGCTACTAGTGGAACGCTATGAGCACATTTTCTTCACATCAAAAATTTTTTAATCACCTGCCGAGGTTCCTTTGATTGTTTTGTTCGATCTTTTCGATTTTTGAAACCTAACGTTAGTCTACTCCTCTTGTATCCTGAAGCCTTTATATTTTAACACGAACATCCACAATTCATTTCACCAGACATCGTTCTGCTTTCCATACATGTTTTTGTACTATTAACAGTGAATTTGGTCTCGGTCAGCATTGATACCGAGTTGTAATTTCACTTTTAGTTCTTTCTTTTTGCTAATAAACACACACGGAATAATATAGGCAGAAACTACTTATTACGATATTGTTTTCTAGATGTAAAATAGCTTTTTCTGTTGTTCTGAAAAACGTTCATTTAATAGAAAAAGTTATATTATACAAAAAGACTGTGTAGAATTAAAATTTATTATTCATGCAATGTTAAAATTAAATCTGTGCTGTTCTTAATAGTCTGTATAATTTCCGCCGGATTTTCGATATTCTTTAATCAAACGTGACATTTCTAACATTGATTCCAGAAGACCGTCACCATTAACTGCACAGGCGCTTTGTATGTACCATCTGTTTCTGCCATTGAGTTCGTTTAGTCCCAACTTCTGTACAATTTCCGAGCAGGACATCGCATCTAAAGGCCAATCATGCGTAGAAGGTATAAAGAACGGAACATAAATAGTAGACCTACCTTTTAAATCTTGTTTGTTAGCAATAACGACAATTGGAACATGTGACATATCGGGTGATCTTAATATTTCATGCAGTTCAGATTTGGATTCTTCGATCCGTTCTCGATCATTACTATCGACAACATAGACCAGTCCTTCTGCTCCTTGATAATAATGCTTCCTGAAACATAAAAGCCGGCTTGTGAGTCTGAGGATGTGGTAAAATATAATAATATCATTTAATTACCAAAGTTGACGAATTTTATCTTGCCCTCCAACGTCCCATACCGTAAACGATACACCTCGACATGGTTCAACTGTTTCAACATTAAATCCTTGAAGGAAACGAACAGTGTATCTTTTTATCAATCACTTTCACGAACACTTACCAATTGTTGGAATCGTTTGTAAATTTTCATCCAGTTTAATTTTGTACAAAATCGTCGTTTTTCCCGCTGCGTCCAATCCCAACATTAGTATTCGTGAACTTTTTCTGCTACCCAAGGATGCGAACGCATCATAAAGTTTCGTAAACCAGATACCCATGTATAACCTTATATTCCCTATTGTTTGTGTTTGTGTCTTCATCTGGAATGGGCAAAGTCAGATGCTTTTTATACTCCTTTCAAAGCTTGTTTTACAGGTAAGATATGCCACGTTTGCTTTTCTGTGTTGACTAGAGACACGTAGACATGAACACAGAACAGGAAGAAAAAACAACGGATAATATTGCTCAACTCAGGATGATTCATTCTTGCGTGTATGTCTTGATTATGGCCCTTGCGAAATAACTTCGCGATGTGACAGAATGATTCATTTACATCAATCCCATAGGCATTTTACAGGGCTCTGTTAGTCTTGCGTATTGGAAAAAATTGCACAAATGTTATTTTGCTGATAGCTCTTTCGCTTCAGAGAATATATAAATAAAAAATAATGCGAATGTTTTTATTCTTTGTTGATAAAGAATTCTTTAATATAGTGATGCGTCCATCTTTAATCATCAGGCGCCAAATTAGATCAGATTATAACATACTGTTTTCCTTTAATCGATATTCGATAGTAGAGTCTTATGCTTTGTATCCGCTTTTGAACCAAAATATATCCTGATCAGCCGAAAAACATATAGCCCAATCAGGATATTCTATTTTTTTAAATAAAATTCATTAGCGAAAAAATGATGATGTCTGCAGAAAGTTCTGACATCACATTAGACAGAGGAGGAAAAACTACAATGCATTCTTTTTTCCCTATAGTTAACTGTTTTTTCCAGTCAGCGACCCTTTTCCCAAACAAAGGTGAACTCAAAAATCTACATTACGATCGAGATATAGCAGAAAAAATGTTAAATATATCCCAATCGGAATATGATTCTCTACTGTGCGGAACAATCAGTTTTTAGATTCGTGAGTGTGTTCGAAAGTTGAGGTTAAAACCTCATGGCAAGATCACGAGTTAAAAACGATCGGACTCTGGTGGACCTAATACTTTGAGCCAGATCGTACGATTATGAATAAACGATTAAAAACTGACCGGAATTTTCGAGAAAAGCGATCGTTTGAAATGTTTTTCAAGATTTCGATGTTTTCCTTTCTATTTATTGACTAAGGGTATGTAAGGGAAACTGTCAAAAATAAGTCTACGCGTAGATATCGATCAATATCATTCCCTTTCCTTTTTCCTCCTCTGGTTTTGTATTGCAAGAATGAAGAGACTTTTTTGACCAAAGTTTTATCATTTACATTTGTTGCTACAGGCCTACTGATTTCTTTATTTCAAATATACAAGAAATGATTCGTGGACTAACGGCATGGCCTGCGACACCTTGTCTCCTTTTAGTCGAAAATAAGTGATCTATTCTTGATCTTACTTCTCCATTGGTAAAAGTATTAGACGAAAGGAAAAGACCAATAACAATATCCCCCCGACATGTTTTATATACAAAGATCAAATCCTTGATCTTTGAAATCCTTGAACCATCTTTTTCAGTCCACGGACCAAGAACAGAGTATTCGTTTTTCATTACCAAAAATCTTTTCAGACATCCTCAGAAGTTTACTTTCTTCTGTCTTATTATTGCTCAATAAAAAAACTTTGGTCATATTAGGGAAAGATGACTTTCATATCAAGATTTATATGTTAGAACGATAGAGAATATTGAAAAGAAGTTGAATATGGCTTTTTCCTTAAAAAAGAAATTTCGTTACTTCGTTACTTTCTCGAGAGTAACGAAGTTACTTAAGTAGTTACTTAGCAAATAGTAACTACATTAGTTACTTGTTATCAGTAACGAGTAACTAACATAGTTACTATTTGCTAAGTAACTAAGTTCGTTACTTTACCTGGTAAAGCGACGCCGAGTAACTAGTAAAGTACCACCCCCAGCTCTAAATGATTCTCATTGTTCAGTAGAACAAAGTTTTGATTTGCGATATGTTTCATAATGTAAACCATAAAGTTCTAACATTAAGACTAAATTAAGGATACTTTAATTAGCTAACTTGTGCGAAAATCAGGAAAATTTCTGATGTAATTTTTTGCTTTCATTGAAAAGAAAAAGATCTTCATAATGCGGTAAAACAGATTATTTGATTTGAAAACGGATATATAAATACATATATGCATATGTATAACTGATATTTATAAAGAGGAAAAATCAAGGGGGAAACTGCGGACTTTAGACTTGAACGGACTTGAGGAGACTTTATCGGACTTGAGGGGACTTTGATGGACTTGAATAGACTTGAACGCACTCTAGAGGACTTTAAAGTCCTCGAAAGTCCGCTCTAGTCGCATCCGTTGGTATATTTCTAAGACATAGAGTAGTCAGTATTTTGAGTTGGTTCCACTGTTGATTGCTTTTGCATCATCTCCGCTGATTATAGTGTAATTTTAGCAGCATCTGAGATCATTTTTAATCAAGAAATAAACGATCAGACAAATTACAAAAAAGCAGAAGTTTCCTCTTCAAAAATATACAGCATTTGACTAAAGTCTGAATCCCTCTGAACTTCATTCAAATTTCAACGATTCTAGCTCATATTTTATGATATGTGCGGCGAAAGAAACGCTGATAACGTACA